CTATCTCTCTCTCTCCCCCTTCTTCTCTAAAAATCATAGGTCAATGCTTAACTACTGAGTCACACCAGCTGGGCAATTTGTTTGTTACGTATCAGTAGATAACTAATATGCTGGGATACGGTACAGGTAGAAGGATGAGTTAGCTTGGAGAAGTAGTATACCTCTGAAATAAAGAAAAAGGTGGGTGCTGTAAGAGTTAGATCTAGAAATGGAAAAAAGAAGGAGCTAAGTTTGATGACCAGTATTTTCTCTCGAGTGTAATAGGCAAAGCCATTGGCTGAAAGTGGTGGTGGGAAGTAGAGACTATAAAGTTGAGAACAATAAAAAGGGTGCAAGAAGCCCTAACCGATTTGGCTCAGTGGATAGAGCATCGGCCTGCGAACTCAAAAGGGTGCAAGGGTAACCAGGCAAATCTGAATAAGCCAAATAGGAATGAGTGCCTGGGTTAAGAAATCATACATCTGTAGCAGAGTCAGTTGGCATATTTATGTGATTTTCTATCACTACGCACAATATTCTTAAAATAAACAGAGTAAGAGGTAGTGGGTTTCACTTGACTTTGGAATTTGTGAAGCGAGACAGTGGACAACAGTGGGGTCAAGGGAACCCTGGGTGATAATTTAGGCTACTGAAATGACTGACCATGGAGTCCGAGCTGGTAGACATGGAAATGAGTCTAGAAACTCTAGCCTGAAAGAATAAGAGGTTTGAGTGCAAAATCAACATTTAGGGAAGCAGGATGGTTATAGAAGCCAAAAGCAGTCAATTAGAAACCAGAAGTCCCACGTCATGGTCACAGCTCACTACTGACAAGCTGTGTTAAAATTTTCAGGGCTCCCCCCACCCTACTTTAAAACACTAAGAACAGTGGCTTACCTACAGTAAACACTGTATAACCATTTTACTAGTAGCAATTACTCTTGACTGTTTTAAAATTATACAGTATTTGATACATACATAAGCAGCATAAGATAAACACTGAGAAATCCATCACCCAACTTAATAAATACTACTAATACACTGTATTCTTTCCTCATCCCATCCCCCCAGAGATAAGCACTATCTTGAATTTTGTTTATCATTCTCATTCCTTTTGTACACTAGAGACCTGGTGTACAAAATTCATGCATGGATGGGGAGTGTCCCTCAGCCTGGCCTGCACCCTCTCTAATCCAGGACCTCTTGGGGGATGTCTGATTGCCTCTTGCAATCTGGCACCACTGGCTCCTAACCACTTGCCTGCCTGCCTGCCTGCCTGATCTCCCCTAACTGCTCCCCTGATTGCCCTGTCTCTGCCTCACCCTGCACCCAGGACCCAGGATTCTCTCCTCTGGCCAGTTGCAGGCACCCAGGACCTGGGCAGGCTTCCCCTGGGGCTGGCCGCAGCCGCAGGGGACTGTGGGCAGGTGGCTTTGCCTGGGCTGCAGCCACAGGTGCCCGGGACTGCGGGATAGGTGGCTTGTCCCCCTCCAGGGCCACAGCCTGGCTGGTCCCCATTCCTCTCTCACAAGCTCATTTGTGCCTGGCTGGTCCCCATTCCTCTCTCCCCAGTGTTGAGTGTCTGAGCCATTAAGGCATGAGGATGTGATGACCATTTGCATATTAGCTCTTTATTATATAGGATGACATGCTGCACATTTTCTCAGGGCCTGTTTCTTCATATGTAAGATGAAGTTTTGGACCCAGTATTCTCTAAGCTCCCTCCAGTTTTAAGAATATATGAGATGATAGGTGGATGTCAGAGTTATATACCTGGTGGAACCATATCAAAGCTTATTTTTCAAGGTTTTGTAAAGTTAAAACACTGATTCTTCCATTGAAACTGCCAATTCAACAAAAGGACATCTCAGTGGAGCTTCTAAGCTCAAGATCAAGACTTCCCATCACTTTCAATTTGCACCTCTGCTGCAAGTTCCACTCCAGAGAAAACCAACACAAAGACCTAAATAACCCCGTCCACTGAAAATCTGAACTCCAAGCCCGAGGAAATAAAATCCAAACAAACAAACCAGGAAAGCACACTTTATTTCAGTATTTTAATAACAATTAAGAGGCATGGTTGGATTCATACTCAGCTTTTCATATAAACTGGACTTATTTCCTTTCTTTGTGTGTGTGTGCATAACAAAGTAAAATACTAAACTTATCTTCACATTTCCTCAAAGGTTCTTACATTATTTTAGTTTCATATAAAACAGTCTTTAATTAAGATAAACACAAAAGCAAACCTTCTGACCATATGGTTGTTATTACCGTTACTGTTCACCTAGGATGCTGTTCTTCCTTTTTATATACAATCTTAGATTTTATATGTCTCACCAGTTACCAAGTTTATAAAACTGAGTTGCACCAGGCAGTAGAATGGCTATATATAGGGCTAATCCCAGTTACCAAGTTTATAAAACTGAGTTGCACCAGGCAGTAGAATGGCTATATATAGGGCTAATCCCCTGTTCACACACAGGTGTGCCTTCTTCAGACTGCTATAGCTGGAACAAAGTCGGCTGAGACTGTTGTTATAACAGGTTAACGTCGCTAGAGGCCTCTGAAAAGGCCATGACTGTAAAGTAGGATACGAATATGTTCCAAAGCTTAACAGTACCAGGAAGATAGAGATCAAAGGAATGAGCCATCACTACAGTATTTTTCTCCTGGAATTTAGGTAGTTTTCCTTATTCTGCCCCTTGTATTGATACAAGAAATAAATGTTTTCTCAGAGGTCTTTTCTTCGCAAGGCCAGTCCTGCTTTGATCATTTAAATTATAGTATACAAATCAACTTGATTTTTATATCCTGCATCTTTAAAAAAGGTAATAAGTATAATGTTATCTCCTTGGTTTCTGCCTACGTTTGAGCTTAATGTGAATTGTGAAAAGTACAAGTAAAGGAGTCTAAGAATGCCAATATTGATCACACACATTTTGTCTAAAAGACTAATACAAGCAGCTACTGTTCTCCCTCACCAATGAAAGGGTACTGCGATGCATTATTCGAAATTAAATCTGCATACTTTCCTTGTTTAGCTCAGGTACAACTACCAGGAGAACTAAAGGTCCTTTATTACTTACATTTGTTTATTCCTGGTAATAACATTTGCAAATCACAATGGCACTTCTAGAACCCCTATAGAGAAAGGCAATTTTTCAAAAAGCAAATCATCTCTTTGGGGTAGAATCTGGAAGCCCTACATAAGATCAAAATGTAGGACTCAGAGGCTCTGGAATAAGGTTTCAAAACACCTCTGTATTTAACCATAACACCTGACTGTAACTGAAATTAAAGTAGAGTGTTTAATTCTTTATCTTCCACTGTTCACATTCCAAAGGGAGGGTATCATCCCCAAAAGAGAGTCTCAAAGATTAGTAAACGTCTCCTTCCAATATCTGACAGAAGTAGTAAATAGTCACTTTTGTTCTAGTTTTTGAGAATCCCTAAAAATCTCCAGGAAACAAAGTCCAGACTAGTGAATCCTAGGCCCAGTAAGAATCCCAGGCAGTCTCTGAAAGCTCCTGGATCAGACAAATTGGTTGCTTTAGTCATTAGCCTGCCAAAGAAACAACAGGATTGTCTATTTTGTGAGCTAATAACACAGGCAGCCAGTGATTCTCCCATGTGAGTGTTATACTCCAAAGGGTCAGATGTATTGTGATTAAATTCTAGTAGTCATGAGCAAAGAGCTGTTTTCCTAAAATAACAAAATCAGGGTTTTCATTTGCTTTTCATAAATGTTAGATGTTAGCCTATCACCTCTTTAAATATTAAATAAAAACACAAAGTAACTATTTTCTGTTTAATTCTTTGCAATGAGACTCATGTCCCTGTTTATTTCTCCTAAACTAGGTGGGAGTTCTGGGTTATAAGTATAGCAAATGATAGTTTTGTTCTGTCATCACCTGAACAGTTGAAATCAAAAGGGTTTTGAATTTTCCAGTAGTAAGACTATTTTTAAATAAAGTGTTTGTGAGGTATTGATTGATACATAAACATAAGTGACCAGGATTGGGGCATAAAGGGTGTTTTCCCCCCTCCTCAGTATATTCACTACCCTCTCAGGAGAAAGGGCCTAGTTATTCACTTAAGATCATGCAGCTAAGCAGAACTACTACTGTACTGGGGCTTATCTTGAACCTGTTTTTAGAGTTTGGAACTAAAGAAACAGACAGCTCTGCTTCATCAGGGAAGAATTTTGAGTAAAACTGGTGGGAGAAGGCCTGCTTCCCCTTATCTGTTACTCTGCTAGAGAGATCCCTTTTGGGATTGTCAGTATGCTTCATCCAAGTCCCTATCTATACCAGATCACAAACCCCTCCCATGCCAGACAGTTTTAAAACCAACCCAAGTCAAACTTGAAAACAACCACACAAAAACAATCCAAACAATCTCTGGGGAGACTTTGAAGTCTCCTTGTAAGGGCCAACAAGATGCTAAGATATCCAGAGCTTTGGATGTTTCAAAATCTAACTTATTACAAATACATCCCAGGTAGTCAGCAGGGCCCTCACACATTTCAACTTTGAAACTTAAATTTCACACACAGGTTTTGGAAAGCCTCCCTCTCTTCTCCACATGTACACTTGTTCCTCCCCTCCATTCCAATCTTCACTCCTATATAATCTATATCTGGTCTGACAACTAGTACAACGTCTAGCTGGAATGTAGGAGAGATAAATACAAGAAACCTCCCCTAGGTTGGAAATATTTAGACAGACGATGTCCTCAAGTTTCTAACAAGAATGGGGCATTTTGCCCTATAAATGCTATCAGTATCTGGTGACCCTGGATAAACAGATGCACTGATCAAATGGGTCCATTCATACTAATGGGAAAAAGAATTTGGTCCACGTATGTCAGAGAACACAAATACTCAGTTACTTTTTCCAACCCAAGTTTCTTGCCTGCATTTGATGGCTTCTTTAAGATTCTTTAAATAATTGTGTTTCATTAATGTGGAATGGGATGTGCTTTCTGATCTTGGGGCTCAGGGACTTGACCAAACTATCAAGCTATCTACATCAATGGTTTATTTGAAATAGTTTTAAAACTATGTGGAGTCTTTCTTGGATCAAATGAGGACTCAAAAGGGGGGAGAGAAAAAAAGGCATCTGTCAGTTTGAAAGTCACAGAGAGTTTATCTTTCTATAATTAGATTAGGAGAAAAATGAAGAACCCACTGATAGCAGGAAGAAGCAAGAGTCTTCTAGGTTCAGTCATCTGTAAGGAAATGAGAAAAAAATTTTTTTTAGTTCCTTTCAGTGACAAAGGCAACAACTGCATATGACAATGGCCCACACAACTACAACACAATTAAAATCTCTTGGTCGTTGGAGGAATCTGCTGTTTATGGCAGAGCACCAAGTACCTTCTGACCCTGAGCTCTTGAGTACCACTAAGCACAGAGAAACTTGACTTAAAAGCAATCTACACAGAGATCAATGTACACTCCTGTGTCAACAGTTTTTTGACTCAGGAGAAAATCAGAATTGACTATCTAGGCAATTGACTCCTGCAGACAATTCTGGATTAATTCTAATTAAGTTATATTGATCTTTTTCCTTTTTATTCACTCTACTACTGATCAATTTACCAATATTTTCTGAGCTATTACAATGTACATAAATTAGTATTACTTGCTTTTGAGGCACCTATCTATTAAAAAATGGAGTGGTTGATAAACACACAAATGGGATAAAGCATACAGACTACAAGGTAAACAAATCCTTTTCACTTCTGTGCATTCAAAAAATCTTTCCACCCATAATTAATTCCTTAAGGGAATAAGTCATGTCTTCTATTTCTTTTTCTTTTTTTAAAATATATTTTATTGATTTTTCACAGAGAGGAAGGGAGAGAGAGAGAAAGTTAGAAACATCGATGAGAGAGAAACATCGATCAGCTGCCTCCTGCACATCTCCCACTGGGGATGTGCCCGCAACCCAGGTACATGCCCCTGACCGGAATCGAACCTGGGACCTTTCAGTCCACAGGCCGATGCTCTATCCACCGAGCCAAACCGGTTTCAGCATGTCTTCTATTTCTTTTGTATCCTTCCAAAGAAGCTAGAGAATTCTGCAACAACAGGCATTTAAAAAATGATAAGAAGGTCTATGGCTGTCTAGAGTCTGAACTAACATAGGATAATTTTTTTTTTCCTGATTCCTCAGAGGTTACACAGAAAAATAAATTTAGTTCCAAATGAGAGGTGTATCTTTTCTTAAGTGATAGAAGTTTCCCCTAAGCTTTTGCTTAAGAGTAGCCATTTTTTACTAGGTAACTATCCATACTAGAGCACCAAGTATTTTGTACAGTGTGTAAGAGGATTTAAAGTTCATGATTTATCCAGTTCTGTGTGCACTTTCCTGGCGCACCCTAGTGCTATTGTGTCTCTTTTCCTTCAGGGGCCAGATGTAATTTTATGCCTTCCTGATATATTTAACAATTTAATGTCAGAACCTATCAAGAAAAATGGCTGATACTGGAAGCAACTGATAGTTATAGTCCATAGCTAAGGAGTGTTTACTTTTAGAATCTCCTTTCTACTTCTCACCAGAAGAAACATCAGCTTTCATATAAAATGAGCCCTAACTCACAGAGGATCCATCTGATTCACTGTCCAGAGGAAGTGAATGAACTCAAAGGCAAGAGGCCACTCACTCATTCATTCACTAAATATTCACTGAGGACTTACTAGCTCAAGACAGTGGGGGATAGAATCCATCCCTAGCCTTTTTTAACATTCCTTTTGCCAGGGGTAAATGCAGCCAGGGCAGCATTTGAAGCACCAAACTTGGCTCTGCTATGGGCATAGTAACCTCGAGGAAAGGCTTCATCTGTGGAAAGTAAACTTTTTGCTCTCTTCATATAGATTTTTTGAAGTTCTGTTCAATCAAATATTCAGATAAGATCAACAGTGCAAGACTCTTAGAAACCCAAAACTTTTAAGTGCTCGTTAAAAAGAGTCTGAATATTTTGATGTGTTAAACTGCACTGCACAGGGAAAGAACTGCAAAGTAGTGAAGCACAGCTGTCTGATTAATCTCAGCCCATTAAAGGGGTATGAGAGATCTAGAATGCAATGCTGATAAAAAAAGAAAAAGAAAAAGAAAAAGAAAAAGAAAAAGAAAAAGAAAAAGGCAATGTGTAGTAACTCTAGGGAAAGCAACTTGGCGTGTTAACCGAATTCTAATTTAATCAGTAAATGCCTATTCATTAGCGTGTAAAGCCATAACAGAAGCTATATACTTAAAAAACATAGGCACACACAAAACTTTAATTTGGTACCATAATCTGAAAGAAAATTGGACCCAAATTGCTTTATGTCCAGTTAAATCTTGCTACCATCTGAGAAGGTAGTGAAATAAAACTGAAACACTTACTTGATGAGATATTCAGTTACTGTGCATTTCCATCTACAGAGTAGAAATATTTCAAAATAAATACACCATGTCAATTGAAATTCACTCCATCCTCTACTTTTAACTAAACACAAACAATTTATTCTGAAGTATATTGAATCACAATATAAAAGTAGAAGAATGCATTCATTCATTCATTTATTTTTAAATTCTCACCCAAGGACATGTGCTTTTATTGATTATAGAGAGAGAGGAAGGAAGAGGGGGATGGGAGAGAAGAGGGAGAAGGAGAGGGAGAGGGAGAGAGAGAGACATCAGTTGATTGCCTCCCGTATATGCCTGGACTGGGATTGGACCTATAACCTGGATATGTGCCAATTGAGCCACACCGGTCAGGGCTAAAAGTAGAAGAATTTAAAATTAGTGATTGCATTCTACTCAAGTGCATGAAAAAAGAAGATAGTTCTTTACCTATCAAGCCTTCTGACATATGATTTGGTGATCTCATTTTTTGGGCAAGTACCCAAAGGGAAGTTTTTCTTAAAGGAAATCCTCTAGCCACCTGAAAATTAACTCAAACTGTGGCAAAGACCGAAACCAAGGGAATCTGAATTGGGAGGCAACATTAAAAAATAAAGTTTATATTAAATATGACGGTTATCTTGGGTGTTCCATATGTGGGAATTTCTTTACCAGGGTGGTATGATACAAATTTAGTATGTTTGCTCAGCATGGCCTCTGATGTCTAGGAAAGACATTCAAATACTATTTTTATGCTGATTCTTATGACTCATAACTTTCATGTTTTCTCTACACATTTCCTTTTAGGTCCCTGAAATCCAATTTCTAATCCCAATTCCCTATTGATCTTATGTCTTAAAAGTCAAGGATGACTTCCTCCTAACCAAAATCAATAGTCTTTTTTGTTGTTGTTAATCCTCACCTGAGAATATTTTTTCCATTGATTTTTTTAGAGAGAGTGGGAGGAAGTGAGGGGGAGAGGGTGTGGAGGAGAGAGAGAGAGAAAAAAAAACCTCACATCGATGTGAGACACCATCTGGTTATCTTCTGCATGCACTCCAATCATGGCTAGGGATTGAACCTGCAACCCAGGTACATGCCCTTGACCAGGAAATGAACTTGCAACCCTTTGGTGCGTGGGCTGAAACTCTAACCACTGACACACTGGTCAGGGCAATAGTCTTCTAAAAAATATGTTCTTATTTTATTTTTTAAAATGTTTTTATTGATTTTAGAGAGAGAGAGAGAGAGAGAGAGAGAGAGAGAGAGAGAGAGAGAGAGAGAGAGAGAGAGAGAGAGAGAAACATTGATGAGAGAAACATCAATATTGATCAGCTGCTTCTCGCACACCCCCTGCTGGGGACTGAGCCTACAACCTGGGCATGGGTCCTGACCAGGAATTGGTGCGTGGGTTGACACTCAACCACTGTGCCACAGTAGCCAGGTAGGACAATAGTCTTTTTATTTCTCCCCAAATTTACTCATGGTATTTGACGTCAGTGGTCACCCTATCTTGAAAATATTCTTTTGGTTTCTGTGATCTTGTACTTTCCTGATACTAACCAGAACCAGGACTAGGGTGAACTGATTGAAGCCCTTAGGGCAGTGGTTCTCAACCTTCTGGCCCTTTAAATACAGTTCCTCACGTTGTGACCCAACCATAAAATTATTTTCATTGCTATTTCATAACTGTAATGTTGCTACTGTTATGAATCGTAATGTAAATATCTGATATGCAGGATGGTCTTAGGCGACTCCTGTGAAAGGGTTGTTCGACCGCCAAAAGGGTCGCGACCCACAGGTTGAGAACCGCTGCCTTAGGGTATAAAATTTAAGAGCTGCTCATTCTCAGGGTTGTGAGAGTGCAAGGTATTCAGACTAAACATGTCTTTGAATATAAAGACTAACTACATTTATTAGCACAAAGAAAATAATAAAAGCATTCTGTCTCATTACACTTACTGTTTTTCCATGGCAGAACATACGGCAGAGACTTGGGAACGCGCATGCCTGAAGCCAGGTTACTCTTATGTTCCATAACTATGTTGCTTGCAGGGCTGCAAAAAGAAAGATAAATCTGACTATGCCAGCATTCTTCAGGCAGGCACACACAAGACAATCAAAATGCGTTTTTTGTAATTTGGGGGAAAACAAAACAGACTACATTATGAAATGTAAACACATTTCCATCAAAACATTCTCGCAATTAGAATGATTACCATTTCTCTGGAAAGCTCACTGTTCTGTACAGGCATTAAGATGGGTCTAAGTATTTTCATTTCTTAGAAATTTATATAAACAGTAATGCCATCTACTGTTCAGTTGTATGACAAACACATCAATTCACTCAATAAACATGAGATAAAATAAAATGCCAAGACAACCAAACTAAAGGCAACAAATCTCAAAGAACTGAGGCAAAATTAAAATTTTACTAGTGAAATTCATTTTTAAGTTTTTCTATCTTAGTGCACACACAAAATAAGGTACAGTTACAATTACTAGCTGACCTCAGGAGCTAAGAAATAAAAATGGATAAGTAGTCAATTGGGGGAAAAATGAAGTCTAACATCTCAGTCCTTTATTTTCTAATCCAGAAATATTCTCATTTGGATTTGAAATGTGATCTTCTAAGGTTTAAAAATAAAATAATAATGAGAAATCTTACAGACTTCAAAATTATATACAAAATCAGTGGGAAGAAGAGATGCATTTTTTTCCCTACCCAACAGGTATTTTGGATTCCCTACTCTTAAACAAACAAACAACTTTTAAGATTATTTTTTCCTTAAAGACTGGTTACCAAGAGTAAAAATGATCCACGTAGTATAGCTGGGTTTTTTTTTTTTAACGCATTAAAATAATATGAACCTAGTGAAAAACTCAACTAAGACATAAGAATATCTGGCTCCACTGTCTCCTTTGCTAGACTCTAAGCTAGTATTTTTGTGTTCCCACAGTGATTTACACAAAGCATGTGACCTTTTTATGAATCAAGGAAGAAATAAGAAAAATAATCCACCAAAACAATATCTAGACTAAGTTACTACCAAGTAATGTCATCAAGGAAAGAGATCAATTCATGCTTTGGTGGCTTTTTTTGGTAACAAAGCCCTCTGATTTTGGGAGCCAGTGCTGGGAATGAGACAATTTCATTTACCTGTTCTTGCCACAGTAGTTGGCTGTGCCCCAGACAAATGGGGTGCTAGTTTGTTCCCACAAATCTGCCGAAGAAAGCAAAACATAGTTTGTGGTATAAGACACCAGTTTATGCTAGTTGAATTTGTAAGATGGGAAATAATACACCTAAGTTTAGAGAAGGAAGTAAAAATTGATCAAGTACCCTGCCTAAGTGACACAGTAGCAGGAACTTAATTGAAGAATATAAACACAAACGACATAAATAATAATAAACGTGCCCAGAAACAGCTAAACACAGATGGCACAGCACAATTTATGGAAAAAGACAGATGTAAAGAAGTGCTTTTTCCAATCAAGAAGAGGAGGCTGTTCCACGTGTCTGCACAGCCATACAAATGTGCTCATTTTGGGGCCCAATAAAAATAACAAAGCATTCTGCAAAACATGGCATGTCCATAAAACAGGAAAATCTTCCTTCTGTCTAAAGCAAATGACTTGAGATTTAGATATTGTGCAGAAAAAGATGCAGAAGCACTTACCTTTATCCCAGTCTTCATCACAAGGAGGGCACTGCCATGTGCTCTCAACCAGAGTCTCTTGTCCAAGGTTCCTGGTTTGGTTGACTGTAAGACAATAGAGATTTTGACATGAGAACAGGACATTGCTAAGTTATGTTTAAAGGGGTTAGTGGCTAAAGAGGTTGCAGGGTAGCTCAATGGGTCTTTGTTTCTCAAAGATAAAGAGAGTGGTCTTATCCCCTTGCTGACAGAGGACATGAAAGAAATAGCAGAAACAAAGATATTTATCATATCTGTGGCAAGAAAAGAATTTTTTTAGTTAGATGAATTATTGGTAAAGCGAATAAGGTTGTTTAGAAGAGAAAGCATTCTAACAAACACAACCTGACAACCTTTTCCCGCTGAAAGTGTTCTTCAATATGGAAAGCCAAAAATCAAGGTGACAATGTAGCATAACACAAATTTAAAGGGGCTAACCTCTAGTACCAAAACATTTCAGCTAGTCAGTCTTACCAATGTCTTGCTCTATACAACTTTTGTCATCACAGCTTGAAATATGGTGACTGATTTCGGTCCGAGGAACCTGATGGCGAGCATTGAAGGGACAAGTAGCCAATTTGTTTGCGACATCAGGATGATTCTGTGGAACAAAAATTAAGGAGTCTATCAATTCTCTGGACCTCTTAAAAGTCCAAGGGGTATGGCTCAGCTTTATCTATAAATGGCTCCCCTAAAATCTCTCAATAAACTTGTAGCTTAGCTATGATAGATAAATTCATAGTAGAAAATTAAGAGGAATTTTTTTTTATCATTCATACAGACCATATAATTTCTCAAAATCATCAAAACGTAAGCCTCTGTTATGACTACAGAGACTGACAACACAGATTTTAGGGTTAAAGTGGTTTATGTGGAGATAAAAAGCAAATTTAGAATTGGGTATTTGAACAACATCTTCTCTCGCTGTTCTTCAGAGTCATGAGATTCAAGTGGCACAGCATGTAATGGTAGAGCTCTTTGGATGTCTTTGAAAGCTGATATTGAGGATACACAGTAATGCTAAAACACACTCCCAGTCTGCACTGCAGTAGTGTCCCTGTTATTGCAATACAATAAGGCTGGAAAATAATTGTTAGAAGGGAGCTGCAGAAGAAGCAAACCAGTGATTTTTCAGATTAACTTGGAAACACTTATTTAAAGTAATGATGCCTGAAATGAGGCTCTGAACAATTTGACCTTTATTTCAGTTATTTCACTAAGGAAAAGCCCAAATGATAGAGTCTACTCTGCTGACCAAGTTTCTTATTAAAACAAAACAAAGTATTTAATGTTGCTCAAATCTTATGGCAATATACCAGCAATTAAGAAATTTACTTAATAGGAGAAGAAAAACATATCATACAATACTAAAAAAAAGGTAAAAATAATGTGAAATGGGGAGAAGGCTGGAAAAAAAAAAATAGAGGGCGGAGAAAAATTGTGAGGGCATTTGTCTCCATGTTTTTGTAAGGGATATCAGGTATTCCAATGCAAAGGTTTTGTGGCCAAAGATTAAGTGCATTAGAAGAGGACGTTGTGGTGGTATATTCAGATCCATACTGTCCATGTTCAACTTTAAGGGATCTTTGCTCAAAAGATTAAAAAGAGCTGAAGAAATAAAAATCGGCATTATAATCATATCTCCAGGACTACAAGAGAAACAGTCATGAAAGGATGTTAATACATATGTAAACCGCATGCAGTTTGGATTAAGAACCAAAACTGGTTCCCAAGCATCAGTCCTGGCAGAACTTTGGTCTCTGTATCTGACATCAGCATTCTAACAATCTTTTCCAAGTGCCTCAGTTACTATACCAGCATTAAAGCAGTTTACATCAGCTAAGTCTACAAAAGAATGACCAGAGAAGAAACACTAATAAATTGTTTTTTATTTCCCCCCTCAAAGATGCTGTCGAAATTTGGAAAAAGAGTTAATTTTAGGAATAAGTTTTTCTTGGGCTAACCTCTAACTGTTCAACTTCTCTAAAATTTATAATAAAAAATATCGGAAATCAGTGTATTATTGACTCAATCCTTATCAGCATTAATTTCACAAGGCGGAAGGGATTTTCTCATTGCTAGCAAAAATTAGTGTTTCCTCTTTTTACAAAGGGAGAAACGACTCCAGAGAAGCTGTTTATCACTATGGGTGCTTATCACTAGTTTGGGGGGAAAGGGGAACAAAATAGGAAAAAACTGATGTACCCAAGAAGTAAACAAACTCCTTTCTATAAATGTTGGTATTTAATACAAAGGTAGATTCCCAAAACAATTCTGGAAATTCAATTTAACACATCAGAATTATCTGATATTTACAGAATTTGTTTTTTTAAAAACAACTCAGAGGGTATCACACGGCAAATTATGAAAATAACACCCTACCTTTCTGCACTTGATAAGATGATAAGGAAACCTGCAGGCTCTGATCTGGTGGTTTTTATCATAGGGACATTGTAATAGCTTTTCAGGGTCCAGGGAATCGACTGAGAGAGAGAGAGAAATAGGGTAAGTATAAAGCTTAATAGGTCTTTGGAAAACTACAGGTTTACAGGCACAATGTATTTTCTTTCTTTTAAAGCATTTTATTTTAAAAATATTTTTATTGATTTCAGAGAGGAAGGGAAAGGGAGATAGAAACAGCAATGATGAGAGAGAATCATTGATTGGCAGCCTCCTGCATGACCCCTACTGGGTGGGGATGGAGCCAGCAACCCATTCATGTGCCCTTGGCCAGAATCAAACCTGGGACCCTTCAGACCACAGGCTGAACCGGCTAGGGCAGGCGCAATGTATTTTCATTTTTAAAGCACAATGTATTTTCCAACAGAATCTGGAACAATAGAATAAGACAGTCTGAAAACAACTTGAAATTTAAATAAAAGTGTAATTAAACATTTGAAAATGAACATTTAACTCTGATAACATAAAACTGTGTTAAGTCCAGCAAAACCAGTGATCAAGGGTTAAGGTCTTAGCTCATATTTGGTTGTACTTAAATATTGCTGTTTTCACCTAGCTGGCATGGCTCAGTGGTTGAGCATCAACCTATGAACCAGGAGGTCATCGTTCGATTCCTGGTCAGGACACATGCCCAGATTGTGGGCTCAATCCCCAGTGTGGGGCATGCAGGAGGCAACCAATCAATGATTCTCTCTCACTGATGTTTCAATTTCTCTTGCCCTCTGAAATAAATAAAAATATAAAAATGAAAAAAAATAGTTTTCATTGTTGGTCATCCTTACTATTAAACAAAAAGTTACATGACATGACATTCTCTTTTCCTTTTCTAAAAGTGCTAATTCAGGGTCATTTATAGTCTAGCTAGCCAACCAGAGCTTCCCAACTAGTATGCTGAAGGTTGGAATGGATGGGGTGCCAATATTTCAATGTAGGGTCCACACACATGTGTTCCCATACCTTAACAGTCAAGGCAAGTTGAGGATAGTTTCTCCTGCTTAAAAGCATCCCTGTCTATTTGCTAGTATGCCATGATATGAAAAAAGCACTGCTCTATATCAGTGATATGTCCTATGGAAGATTGAGAAATATTCATTGATAGATGACTTCTTTTTCACCTGTCTGCTTTAATTCATTACTACTATAAGTAGTTCCTCATCTTGGTTACTCAAGTTACCTCTCAAATGAAACCAATACCTTTATTAGATAAGTAGTTTTACCTTTTGTATTCTAATACATGAAAAAAAATCAGAATTCTTTAATTTAGTGATTATCGAATTTGCCATATTAAAAAAAAAACAGAATAATCTGCAAACACAGAGCCTCCTGAAGTTAAGACACCTGCAGACATATGAAGCTGATATGTGAAAGAAAGCCCCAAACTTATATCATGCTAGTTAAAACTACCCTTAGAAGGCTATACTTTCAGGGATTATTTCCATAGTTTGGAATTGTGGAAATTTCTCTGAACATATCTCTCAGAGAAGTTCCTCTGAACATGTAACTACCCTTAGGCTTTACAAGATGCCCAGGCTGAGCCCCGAATTTTAATAGGTTGGTTAAGGAAGGGAAATTAAATGGTTAAGCACATTCTCAATATATTATGAGGATGAGAAGCAACCTAATAAAATGCTTTTGCCCCCACTGAAGGCAATGATAAAAGTGAAATAAGATAAACAATTCACATTTGATAAAAGGCTTATAAACCAGGAGACTGCTATGAAAATCAGAAGCTAGTGGGGAATTGAAACAGACAGTTTCACTGAAGAGTGGTAAACATGGAATAAATTGCGAACCATGACCATGATGTAAATGAGCCAGAAAGGTGACGTGAAGGACAGAATGAATAGGAAGGAAAAATCTTAGAGGACAGGCAGGCTTATTATGCTAACCAGGCGTATCCTGACCAGCAATCTTTTCCTCTGAAGCTTCAGGACACCCAGGGAGAGTTCACAGATGAAATTCATATTAAATCCTTTCATTTAGTCCATTCCATCACTAGCAAATGTTAAGCCATGTCTGCAGCTGACAGAACTGGACATACCTTATGATTCATACACACTTTACTGCCCACACAGTGGCATACGTCAGACTTGATAATGATAGTTTTCTACCATAAATGCTTTACTTTTTGGTCTCTAGTAATTTAGGTTAGCTCTAACCTGTTTTTTAGATTTAAAATTTTTATTTTCTTTTTAATTAAAAAATTTTAAATGGCTATAAAATATATACAACATAAAATTTGCCATCTTAACCATTTTTAAATGTACAGTTCAATAGAGTTAAGTATATTCATGTTGTTGTGCAACCAATCTCCAGAATTTTTTTCATCTTGCAAGACTGAAACTCTATATCCATTAAACAACTCCCCATTCCCTCTTCCACCCAATCATGGCAAACACTCTTCTTTCTGTTCCTGAGTTTGACTAGTCTAGATACTTCATCATAGTATTTGTCTTTTTGTGACGGACTTATTTCACTTAGTATAATGTCCAACTTTCCTCCATATTGTGGTGTGTGATGGGATTTCCTATACCCATTTTTGCTATTTGCTTAAAAAATTTAAAAAAATTAATCCTCACCAAAGAATATGTTTATTTATTTTAGAGAGAAAAAAAGGGGATGGGAGGGAGGATGAGAGAGGTGCGAGAGACAGAGAAACATCCATTGGCTGTCTCTCACAGGAACCCCCAACCTAGGTATGTATCCTGACCTGGAATTGAATCTGTAACCTTTTGGTGTATAGAACAACACTCTAATCAACTGAGCCACTCAGCTAGGACTGCCTTTTTTAAATTTTACTTAACATATCTTTGTGCTCCTTCTATGTGAGTCCATATAAGGAATATTTCATTACTGGTGGCCTCCCGCGCACACACCCCAACTAGGGGTGGGGCTAGGAGGGAACCTGAAACCGAGGTACATGCCCTTGACTGGGAATCGAACCCATAACCCTTAAGTCTGAGGGCTGACACTCTAACCACTGAGTAAAACTGACCAGGGCTCATAGATTCTTAATAATTTCCCTTACAGATGGACATTTAGGTTGTTTCCAATTTTTACTTTTATTTTTTAAAAAAATATATTTATTGATTTTTTACAGAGAGGAAGAGGGATAGAGAGTTAGAAACATTGATGAGAGAGAAACATCGATCAGCTGCCTCCTGCACACCTCCTACTGGGGATGTGTCTGCAACCAAGGTATATGCCCTTGACCGAAATCGAACCCGGGACCCTTCAGTCTGCAGGCCAACACTCTATCCACTGAGCCAAACCGGTCAGGGACAGTTTTTACTTTTATATGCAAGTAGTCATGTAATGGAATTTGTGCACGGGGGTGGAGGTAGGTGGAGGGGGGGAGGTCCCTCAGCCGGGTCTGCACCCTCTCCAATCCAGGACCCCTCAGGGGATGTCCGACTGCCGGTTTAGACCCGATCAACGCACCAGCAATCAGACATCCCTCTTGCAATCTGGGACCGCTGGCTCCTAACCACTCACCTGCCTGCCTGCCTGATTGCCCCTAACCACCTCTGCCTGCTGGCCTGATGCCCCTAACTGCTCCCCTGCCAGCCTGATCACCCCCTAATGGCCCTCCCCTGCCGGCCTGATCGTCCCCTAACTGCCTCAGCCCCTACCACCATGGCTTTGTCTGGAAGGATGTCCAGAAGATGTCAGGTTTAATTAGCATATTACCCTTTTATTAGTATAGATGCTGTGACTAACAATCTAGCATATACTTCTTTGTGCATTGTATGAGTATTTGTGTTTGGCGGATACCTAAGAGTGTAATATTGATGTATATGCCTGGGAAAATAAATTCTTCTAGGTTTTGTTTTCTCAGTGCAAAATTTGAATGTTAAATAAAGTCATTTTCAGGTCTCTTTTGGTTCTACACTTGTGTGATTCTAATGCTGGCTCCCTTTTGATTTCCTTGGCCATCTAAGAATCCTAGGTCACTTGAGAAATAAGAATATTCCCTAGGATTTCTTTAATCCTAAAAACTCAATCTACATCAACATTATGTATACCATATTACTCCTGAAAATAGAAAGAAAACACAGGTGTCCCAGTTGCAGCCTTTTCAAAGCTTGATGACTTCTCATACCTCTTTAACTATTTAAATTTTAAATCTTATTTCAAATTAGGGCACTTCTCTACATTACTATCACACAGACCGTTTCTCTTCAACAGTTTAGGAGAAATATGAATCTTTGCCACACATTAGAAGTCCTGTCAGACATAAAATTGTATGCAAGTTAACTTATTTTCTAAAAACAATAAGAAATACATACTGTAAGTTTCTTCCATGTTGGAAATGAAGGAGCCGAATCCAAGTGCTGGGGAGGGGGGGGAAAAAGCAGTGATTCAGTGAATCAGAAATGAAACGTACGTAAAGGTGGCCCTAAGAGATAGAGTCAAACTGGGATTGAAGCTACCCAAGTTCATTATGAGAAACCTATAGTGCCCTCCTCCCTCACATATTTTCCCCTTTAAAGCATTCTTTGTTACTTTAAAGCATTTCAATATCATGGCTTAATTCACACTCTTGGAGTAAATTATAGGGCTCCCAAATAATTAAGAAAAACCACACCTGACTACTAACTTAAAACGTATTCAGGGGATGTCAGTCTACGGTAAGTGCCATTACAGTAGCCAATCACTGTTTACCATCTGTTAGGGTCTGATGCTATTTAACATTAGAGCGGGCAAATCAAGACCACAAGAATACTGTTGTTTTAAAAAAATACAGGATGGAAAGGCTGCCAGTCTTGCTCCCCTCTGACACTTGGGAATGCTGGAAGCCCTCAGACAGTCTGTAGACTCAATCCCTCCCATATGCCCAGCGACGTTCTCGCTTACTGTTTCTCTGACTTTCCTTAAACGTGGTCAGGAAGTGCCACAGGCTTTCCACTGATGCGTTGCCGCCCCTCGGTCCCCCCCCTCTCCTATGCTAAAACGAGCAGACGTGGTTATTTAACCTCTCCGGTTAACAGTCATTCCCCCTATGCTTTGAGGTAAAACTTCTGAATGTTAGGACTAAAGAATTTCCCATTTCATGGATAACAGACCCATAAAAGAACAGGTCTGCAACGGGAATGCGGGAGATGAAAAGACAAGATTTGGTTTTGTAGTTTGAATTCTCTTCTCCTAGAGATCCCTCCTACTGAGCACTGTGATTAAATACACTTATCATTATGGGGGACAACAACCTAAATTTATATAAAACTGCCCCGTAAGAACCTTGTGCAAATTGGCTCGATTTACAGTTACTGCCTCTGGAGCCAGCTCTCCTTTGGCCTCTCCTACAATTCCACACCCCTTCCCTCCCATTCTATGACATAAGCAGCGTTGGAATCCACGAAAAGAAATACCAGTGACCAGCTGGAACCCTAGTTTAGTAATTGGCCGCAGAGCCCATCTGTTAATTACAACCATTAGTGAAACTGTCGTAAAAACACTTGTTATGTCTGGATTAAGAAATTCTGACCTTTCTTTCGACATGTTTTACTTGTACACGGTCACTCTATGCTTTTAAAATCAAAATGAAAGAGGTTTGGAAGGAAGAGCCAAGTATTATCTTCCTGGATTTTAAGGCATTTAAAGGAATGACCGGCACGGGAGTCAACAACCTGTCGGACGCCATCCTGTCCTTTCGGGGCAAAAAGACTAATTAGGGCAGGTCAAGGGCACTGGGATCCATGGCTCCTCGTCAGCCTTGTCCATTCGGGTGTCGTCCCCAGCAAACTGTTAACGGGATCTTCTATCTTTTCCCCGCCAAGGACGAGGACTAGCAGTGCTGAAACGGGCCAATGACACCACGTAGTTCCAGTTTGGGGGTGAATGTAGCCGGAGGTAACCGGTTACACTCAACAGAGCTGACGCTCGGTAACATCGTTTTTCTTTCTTTAAACAACATTCCGAGTAGATTTAAGCGACGGGACTGAACAGGGGAAGCAGGGAAGGTGGACAACTTGTCTGTAGAAAAAGGAGCTCGGAAGGCCCTCGAGGGGACGAAGCGGGGAACCGCCTGCAGCCCAACAGCTGCGAGGAGACCCACCAGGCGGAAGCCTGGGCGTGAAGAGGGGACAACAGTTGGCGAGGGCACCCCCCCCAAAGGTGCGTTGTTTGGGGGCCCGGAGCCAGGGCCGCGATGTCGCCCCTAC